AACCTAATTAATAATTATATATAAATAAATATATAGGAAAGATTAACAGGTAAAATTCTTGATCGCCATCTTGCTAAGAGAAGCGTTTTGACGGGTTCTTTAAACAATTTGAATTTTTAAAGCCAAAAAATATTAAAAAATTATATGGGTGCTATATTCTCTAATAAATTATATGTAGGAGTTGCACTTTGCTAAGCCGCTTCATTATTACGCAATATTAAAATATATTATCATTGTAAAAAATCTAATATTTTTACCAAGTCACGAATTTGACTATCGAAAAAATTATGTATAATAATTATACGTGTATACATAATTTTTTTAAATTTGTAGTCAAGATAAAATATAGCAGAAGAGCATTAAGAATTTAAAATATAAATGTTTATATGTTAGTTTACGTTCAAGTTTATTTATTATATATATTTTTATGTAATAGGAGGCAAACGGGTAGAAGGCTCTGTTAAGTGATACCGTCGCCCATCGACACTCACAAGGCTCGCACGTGCGTTGCCGACCTTTTAAGACTTGATCCACTCTTTTATTGAAGGTCCCTAAGTCGAATTGGTATAATATAATATACCGTACCTAAAAAGGAGGTGTTTTCAGAGTCGCATGCAAACAACATTCTCGACTACAGATTTCGATGATTCAATGTATGATGATGTTGGAGAAGAGGAAGGTATAGAAGAGCAATCAATTTGGAGCGAATCCACACAATCGGCCGACCTGAGGAGGTCATCGCGGTCCAAGTCAATGACACGCTCCAAGTCTATGAGTACGACTAGAGCGCGGAAGTCCATGTCCAAATCGTTCTCTCGGCTTATGTCCAAAAATGTGGTGAGGTCAATGTCAAGACAGTCCAGGGCAAGGTCCGAAATGTCGATGGCTGATGATGATTCACCGGCGAATACTTTAGACGATTTAATTGTACACGCCAAGTCGAAGGGGGAAAGGTATCTCAGAATTTGAATTAAAAAAAGTGCGTGCGTACAAAGTACACATGTCAGAAGTGAAACTTCTTTGGCAAACTAATTTTTAAGTCTTATTCATATCTAAAACTTTAGATTTCCGAGTCTTTGAGGGAGGGAAAAAGGAAGATATGTTAGGAAATTAATGATTTAAAATATTAAGTGTCGAAAATTAATGTAAAATTTTTTTTTCTTTGATAATGACAACACGTTGAATTTTAATTTACCATTCGTCATTTGAAATTTCAATTAATTATTATATAAAATATAAAATACTAATATTTCACTTTACGAAATTTTATGTCAAAAATAGAATTTCTATAAGGTAATTCGCCCTTCTCACTCTCTCTCAATCGGTCTCAATCGCTCTCTCCCTTATCTTCGACAAAAACGCTGCACATCTTCGTGACCCTAATATTATTATTATTGCGTTTCATCCGTAAAAAATTTACCCTCATGCGCCTAAAGAAGTTTCACTTCAAACAATGATGTTTTTCAACTTATTTACAGAAAAAATCTGTGGCGCTACAACCCTTTTTAGGTCTGGGCCTCGGATTTCTGTATCTGTTAATGATTATTTCATTATTAAACCAAGTAGGTGATCCTCCTGTGCCTGACTCACGCTGTTGACTTTTTGTTTCTAAGGCAAGCCGCTTCGATGTTTTCCTTCACCGTTCAAGCGAATGTTAAATGCGCACATAGAAAGAAAGTCCATTGGTGCACAGCCGGGGATCGAACCTACGAACTCAGGGATGAGAGTCGCACGCTGAAGCCACTAAGCTGTTGGCATCATCTTACTCTTGCTCTTCAGTTACTACAGTTATTACTTACATATTAAATAATTTGTAACTATAGTTTACCATAATTGTCATGTATTTTAGAATAGATAGCTTGTAACATATACTTTAGATATAGCATTATATATTATGATGAAACAGATACAGAAGTCTCTGGTCCAGATCTAAAAAGATTGTAGCCCCACTGATTTATTTTTTCACTTGATACGCAAAAAACGGTACTAAAGTAACGTTCCAGAAAAACTCCATATCGAAAGATAGTGAGAAATCCGCACTTTGATATGCTTTACTGTAATAAATCGGAAACGGATATGATTAAGTGGAAGTCGAAATACAAACAGAAAGGCTTTGAGGTTTCCGCCTCAGACGAGTTTAGTAAGAAAGCGGAGATATTAACTAAAAAGGTGAAAAATTAGTTTAAGCTTACTAATAAGAACATAAGTTAATTTGCAGTACGTAATTTTTTTAACTATTTGAGTATATTTCTCTCAATCTAATAGAAAATTTTATAAAACTAGCTGACCCGGCAAACGTCATTTTGCCATGTATATTATTTCTAGGAAACATTTTTTTTAGGTTAATAAAAATAACGATCTACAATAATAAAAAATAGGGGTTGATCGTAGAGGGTAGATGAAAATTAAGGGTTGTTTGTAATTTTGTATGCTGCATCATAAAAAAACCAAAAAAAAATTGTCTAAAAAATTAAATTAAATTTTGGGATGGGCACCTCTCATCACTTAGGGGTTTGAAAGATAGTAGATATATAGATAGTAGCCGATTCTCAGACTTACTAAATATGCATAAAAAATTTCATAAGAATCGGTCGAGCCGTTTTGAAGGTGTATGGGAACGTACATTGCCACACAAGTTATTTTTGTCACGGGAATGACGGGAATTATGAACCATAGTTTTTTAACAGATTGCTAAAGAATTCTACGAGTGGTGGGTTGGTTTGGGAAATGTGGAGTTCAAGAGTGAAATTAAACGCCCCGAAGATATTGAAGACTTATTTCAAGTAAGCACTTTGTTTGTGTAGTAAAGTCCAAGTCAAACAATCATTTATTCATATAGGTACACTTATGAACGTCAAAAAAAGGAATATACATTAAATGCTTCAACTTTTACATTCACTGCGAGTTCTCAAATCGAGGGCGTAGAACGGAAGAGAAGATCTGCCAATAAACTCTCCGCCACTATTTTTAATTGCCAAGTTTTTGATGTGAAACATCTATAGCCGCACGTAAAACCGATTTCTGGCGTGGCGACGCATGCCGTGGTGACGCGTCGCCATGCTATATGATGGTATATATATATACAGTCTATATGCAGTAGTGTGTACGGTGTTTGTATTTCGAATTCACTGATTAAACGGAGTAAGTAGTCACAATTTGAAATAAATTCGTAAATTTTTGTATTTGATAAAAGTAATGTTTATTCAATAAATAGTCATCGTTAACTGGAAAAAAAACTTAATATTTTATTTTATATATCATCATGATATATTTAGTTCCTATCACAATCTGTTCTTTTTTGCATATTACTTTTACAAAATATGTCGATGTTTCACATCTGCCAGGCGTCCCGTGACAGCTTACAATTTTTTTTGTTTATACTTTACACAACGTTTGTAAGGAGCTGCAACCATTACACCATGTTCCACATGACATCTTTAGTAATAAATAATAAAAATAAATTAAAAACAAAGATTTGTCCTCTATCAGCAGGAGGCATGGTGAAATAGGAGCACGCACTTACATTCTCTAAAGGTTTATATTACAAATTTATTTATATAAGTAAACTAAATGTGAAAAAAGCATCCAAAATTATTCAAAACATTTAAATAAACTTGCTTGTATTTAAGGCTGTAGGTGCCTGCATGTTGCACCACGATTGCGAAAAATTGTTACAAGGCAATCAAACTATTTTATCACTTTTCTAGAAGTTATAGATCCCTGCCGTGTAATACTTTCAAGGGGAAGGTGATTGAATTCACCATGAATGATCGTCGATTATAGGTACTTTAACTTGTCCCTTCTCTAAGTCCTGGATTTAGTTCAGGATTCTTCGACAAGGGTAGGCCCAAGCCGACTTCACCACATTTGCTTGTATACCCTACTAGCTGCTTCTCATTCAGCCGTTCTACATGGCCAAACCATCTAAGCATTTCTTTTCGTATTATTGTCACTACGCCCTCTGTGTATAAATGGCAATTCTCAATAGAGATTAATGACCATAGTAATACGTTAGAAAAAATTAGGTCTGGGCAGATTTTTGCAGAGAAATAGGTGATCAGCCTCCTGTGCCTGATACACGCCGTGGACTTTTTTGGGTCTAAGACAAGCCGGTTTCCTCACGATCTTTTCCTTCGCCGTTCGAATGTTAATTGCGCACATGGAACGAAAGTTCATTGGTGCATAGCCGGGGATCGAACCTACGACCTCAGGGATGAGAGTAGCACGCTGATCACTAGGCCAACACTACCCTATAGTAATACATTGGTCTACCAGATTCCCCTAAAACTTTTGTTTGCAGGTTTGGTTCGACGAACACGCTTCAAGAGGGCTTGTTCTTGATCCGAGGATTCTCCCATGCGTGTTGCAAAGCGTTGCCGACTATGTTGGAGCTAATAAGGTTGGTGTTGATATAGGTATAAAGAAGAGACATTATAATTTAGCATAAGTGCTTGGCAGAATTCCTTCAAGAAAAGAATGTACTGAATGTAATGTGAATGTCTTTAAATCTCAAAATATCTCAAAACGACTCCTGCGCATCTCTGAATGAAATCCAAATATTTACAATTCTACCTACTATATCCCTGCACACCAATCTAATGCCAAAACCAACCTAGCCCTGTCGGAATAAATAATATAAGTTAAATACAAAATGTGTTTATTCACAATATGTATGCATTAGAATGTGTAAGATTTTCTAAGTAAAAAAAAACCTGTGTCAGGATTCCCAGCTCCTTTCAAACTTAATATTTATATATATATATATATATATATATAAATAATATATATACCTACATGTATAAATTTTAATTACAATTTCTTTTTCAAAAATGGAAAAAAAGAAAGATATCATTAATGTTCCTAAACTTATAAACGTTGATTAATTTCTAACTGGTTATCGCAGGGTTCACCATGATATTGTGTATTGCTATCTTATAAATAAAAATGAATCTCAAAATTGCAATTGGCAACATAAGCACAAAACTCGAAGGCTGCTGCAATTCGAGTTTTATTTAATTCTTTGAACTCTAAGGAAGGATTTTATGGAGAGAAATACTGAAAAATATAAAATTTTATTTAGTACTTACCTTTTTCGCGAAAGCGGACAGTCTTTATAGGAAAGCAAAGCAAAATATTCCATATGTTGGTATGTATTTACTAAAAAGGGAGGCTAATAAATAAAATAACATTTCATGAGAAGTGGCTTCAAGAGGCAGCTATTGTTAAGAACAGCGCTACAACTATTTAGGTCTAGGCCTCAGATTTCTGTATCTGTTTCGTGACCATATGTTTCTTGTAATAGGCAAGTAATATAGACGAGGCTTTTATGTCATAACGGTTTCCTAGCGATATTTTCCTTCATTCAGTGATTTGTTCGCAAGGTTGGACCTCGCGGTTACGTGGCGCACGCTCATGCCTCAACGCCAACACTGCTTTTTGTATAATTATTTTGTGTATTCCAGGCTGGGTGTCCCGCAGTACTAAAACGTCAAATAGCCCACGATATCCATGCAGAGACGAGTCCTGCGCACACGCTTGCGTTTGGTACCTGCCTGCCCCAGAAGTACAAACATATCCCGCCAAAGAATAACACTAAGCATATGTGGCATTCTGTTAAGATACCAGAGGATCTGAAGTCTATGGCTGCTGTATGGGATGATGTACAGCACCTTACGTAAGTATCGTTAACCGACTTTAAAAGGATGACGAAAAAAACATGACTTAGGCCTGAACCACTATCGGATCACCACTATGTAAAACCAGTTGCCCACTGAAGAATTTCCGAACCAATTCGACTAAGGGATTGGTTGGACAAAGATCTGACGAATTCTTAATGGGCTTCAAAAAACATCAGATCAGACAGCAGGCTTACCGCGTAACTTCAATTGCGATCGGATTTTAAGATAACTATCAGCGCTACGAGGATAACTATAACGTTAATCGTCACTTGGTATATATATATACACACACACATATATGATATCAAAATAATTGGAATAACAAATTTAACCAATCATAGTGTCAAATTTAAATGGTAATCTAAAATATAAACAAAGAAAGATAAAAAAGATATAGATCATATATTTAAAAAAAATATAGTAACATATACTGTAGATATGTATAATGAACTTTAATAAATAAATTTGTAGTGCAGTGTTACTTTGACCCCAGTCTGGATACTCGAGTAAGCCTTGTGACAGTAGCACTGATGTCCATAGCAACGTGTATATTTCGTATGCGTGCGACTCTCATACCTGAGGTCGTAGGTTCGATCCGGCTGTGCATCAATGGACTTTCTTTCTATGTGCGCATTTAAAATTTGCTCTAACGGTGAAGGAAAACATCGTAAGGAAATCGACATGTCCTAGACCCAAAAAATCAACGGCGTGTGTCAGGCACTGGAGGCTGATCACCTACTTGCATATTAGATTTAAAAATGATTATGAACCAGATACAGAAATCTAAGGTCAAGAATTAAAGAGGTTGTAGCGCCACTGATTTATTTATTTTTTTCGTTTTTGGACATAAGGTGTTTAATACACTTGTCATCCAGTGTTTATTATTTCGATACTTATGTTTGTGAATGGAAATTTTAATCTAATTACTATTATCTACGGTAATTACACGAATTTGATAAGAAAGAATATTTGTATAAAAATTTGAATGGCTGAGTTTTGACTAACTATTTTGGTTAAACGGAACGAGAAATCGTGTCGCGTGTCTGTGAATGGACCAATCACAATTAAGCGAAATACGCCTTGTTTATCTTATACTTATAATTCTCAGAAGACTGTCAAAGCTGTAACTAAAACTTTTGGGTTGTACATGGTAAAATGCAAATAATAAAAATCTCAATTAAGTTCTTAATGTATACATTTTTGTTGTTAAACTATTTCGACTATATACCAGTCTAAATATTTTATATTATTATATTATATTTCATACAATAAGCTGAGGAAAACCTCAAAATTACCGAAAGGATTTTATATTTATGTAATTGTGGTAAATGTCGGGAGGTCGCAAAAATAAATAATTCTTATTAAAAAAACAGCGGCACTACAACCTTTTTAGGTCTGGGCCTCAGATTTCATGATCATTTGTAAATCTATTAGACAAGTAGGTTATCAGCCTCCTGTGCCTGATACACGCCTTCGCCCTTTCCTCCGTTCGGAACGGTGAAGGAAGACATCGTGAGGAAACCGGCTTGTCTTAGACCCAAAAATCACGACGGCGTATATCAAGCACAGGATCACCTACTTGCCTATAAGATCATGAATCAGATACAGACATGTGAGGCCCAGACATAAAAAGGTGGTGACGCTATTGATTTTTTTTTTGTCAAAAGCTAAAGAGTCTATATAAATTTCAGATCAACAAAGACATTCCACCAGTGGCTTCAAAAGCGTCCGCATATGCCGATGCCGCCATTCTTCAAGTCACTTGAGAAGCCAGGAGAAAAGAAACTGCCCTTCGTGGTTCCATCTGACTTCGTCGTTCGAGATAGGGCCTCCTCCATGTCAGCACAGGAATTGGCTTTACCAGTGTCTCAGTTTGACTTGGAGCTTAAAGATGTTTTAAGTAAACTAATGAACGAGTGAATCGCAAACGAACGAACTAAACATTTTTGTATTGAAAAAACGTGTAGAAACCCGAATGTAGAAACGGGATTTAATTCCTTCGATAACGCGGTAGCCCCGGACCGCGTTATAGGAGTATTCTAGTAAAACCGTTTGTTTTAACTATTCAAAAAAATATCACTTTAGTAAATTTATTTAGTTTAATTTTATATCATAATTGAAACTGGTGCAAAGGTACGCAAAACTAATTATGGTCTTGACAAATCATTATAAATTTCACACTACAGACATATAACTTGATAAATCTCCGCGTTATAGGCGGGACATACCGCGTTATATGGGGGACGGAAATCGCGTTATACGACAACGCGTTATAGAGGGATTACTGTACGTATATAATAACATATAGTCAATAAATTGTATCAAAATCCTTTCGAAATTTTATTTATTAATCTTATATATTATTTTAGCAGGAACTCCATGATAGTTTTACAAAGCATAGGCCACCATGGCTTGTGTTCTTGATAACTGTCGATGGTTTGACACTTGACATTAGTTTTGATTTGACAATTGTAATTATTGCAAATGATTGTTACTAACTGTACCTTTTTAAAGTCATTATCATTTATTTATTTATAATATCACGCCTTTTTCCCTCATGACATACCCCTCTCGCTTCATCCACTTTCATGACATTCACACATGGTACACAGCCATGATTGGAACGCACGACCTCAGGGTTTGAAGTCTCATATGCCACTTGGCCGACATTGAATCGAATTCCTATATTGTAACAGGTGCTAACATAATTCAATCCCATAATATCATATATGTCAGTGTTGGTCAACTTTAAAATGAAATATTTTAATCCGCAAAAGCCTGTTTGATGTCCTTCAAGAAAATAGCGTACCAATTAATAAAAGACCGACAACGCACTTGCCAGCCTTCAGGAAATGTGAGTGTCCATGGACGGCGGTAACACTTAACAGTAGCCTCCAGCCCGTTTGCCTCCTGTTACATAAAAAATATAAACAAAAAAAACGCTTAGCTAAGAAGCCCTCTAACAGTACAAGATTATTACTTGAGATAAAGTTGTTACGACCTTAGTATTCAAAGAAACCAATTATCGTTTTAATCGAATCTATCTATCTTCGATTTGATAAATATTATCATAATAATCAAAAAGATATAACCATATTTTATGGTGAGATTAGTCCTAAGAGAATTCCTAAATGCAAAATAATTATCATAATTTAAATACAGTGAATACAATGTAAGTAATCGAATACCTTCGTAAAAATAATAGTAAACCAACAATGGCAGAATGTAAAACTCCATACTTTCTATCTCTACGCTTGGCGCCATACAGCGCTTTTTATGGCCCTTTCTGCCACGCACCACTTCTTTCACCAGCTGCCAGATGAGGTATTTCCGAATACTTAACTCCATCATCAAGTCCAGTCACTTGATAAACTTCCTGTCCCAAATAAACTCAAAGTATTTATCGGCGCCTACTGCAACTGTTTTGTATGAGCTAGTTTATAAGACCATGACTCACGATTTATGGGTGAAAGAAATTTGGATTTTGACCTACGAGGTAAAGAACAGATATACAAACCCTATCATTGTTTACTATCACTGCAACCGCATATTATAGAATTATTAGCTCCATTGCACACTAGGCTAACACAGATCCAAATACATTCATTAATGTCTATCAAACACTTAAATTAATTATTTTAAAGTTTCAATTGACAATTACTGAAAACATTATCTGAAGTACTTCATATTCAGTATATAACAACAATGAACAGTTTACTATATATTATCGATTAGGACACTGGCTATTATTTGTTGGGAAAGGAAGTTGAATTAATAATTATGTGATAAATAAAGATATTTATATAAATAAAGAGATAAGGTTTTTAATACATTCGCACTTCAATTGGTGACCGCGATTCGTTTGCGATGGCTCTTTCGTCTTTTGACGAAAGTGTTAGTGATAAAGTTTCGGAGACGGGAAATATTGAAAATGGACGGTCGATTTTGTTCACTGACCCTGGGGTGAGTTATCAAGCTTTGAGAACAATAACTCACAATTATTGGGATATAGAAAGTTACGAATGTTATTATATTCAAGTAATGGACAGTCGTGTGTAGTGTTTACAGCTGCAATTGTTGATAAACAGTAATTTTAACAATTCTACAATATACGTTTGTTTTTAATGTAAAGTTTCTATCATAATTTACGCCGTAAAACTACTAAAGAACTGCTATATACCATCCCAATTTGTTGTTAATTTTGATTTTGGTATCTAAAATGTCATTGTTAATATCTTCCTAAAAACCTAAACCTTGATTTCGATTCTATCATAAGATTAGATTATTTAATTAATATTTCATCACATGACACTAAAGATGTTTGAACAAATTTTAGAATGATTTTGCTATGGACAAGAAATATCATAGGATTTTTATTATACTTAAATTCCTTCTGCAAAAACCAACATAGGAGTTCAGGCACCTCTTTGTCGAATTCTTACTTATCCGCAGCTGGATATATTCGGTAGTGGGTGATCGGTTTTAAAGAAAGCATTGTTAAGCATTCTCGAACCTAAAGCGCTGTTTTGCTGGTTTTTTTTCTACTTAACAAAAATTTCTGTTATTTTTATTTTATGTAACATTTATATTTACTAAAATTGTCATACATTTTAGATGAAAGAGTTTGTAACATATATCGTTGATTTAGTTCTATGTATGATGTGGTAAACTTTAATAAATATACTGAAACGATTATTATCTATCTATATCCATAAATAAATATCAACTAAAACTATTTTTAGACTATAAGCGTTATAAAAGGTGTTATTTTTATTACTTTATCTTAATAAGCTTTGTTTCCAATCGTGGGGGACACGTTACGTACACGTGATTTCGTCTCAATGTTATTTGCACAATGCGTGATGTGATAACGCTTGCTTCAACATCATAAAAGGCCGGCAACACAATCGCGAGTCCTCTGACATTGAGAGTGTCCATTGGCGGCGGTATCACTTAACATCAGATGAGCCAAGCGAAAATTCGGCCCCTATTGTAACTCCTTCCGCTTGACTGTATTCAACGAAGAGCTATTCGAATCAACTACCTGTCACTTTCCGTGCGACTTGATCCCTTGGTGTTGCGCAGAGATGCATCTTCTACCGCATTTACCATGGAGATTGTTCAGATGAGTTGTTCGGACTAATACCTGCAGCTGAGTTTCATTATCGGACGTCAAGGCAGAATACAAAATACCATCCGTATCACCCGACGTCGTTTCACAACTGAGCGTTTCTTAAGGCAGTTTTTGCCGCGGGCTCAGAAGCACAGCACGGCTGTTTTGGTGACGTAGCTCAGCCGTAATGGGCTTTTCTCCGTGACTAGCGCAAGGCCGTCTCTTGCGAGACTCGGACCTTGGCTTGGGCCCCCGAGGGGTGTTCAATCACCTGAAGGGCCGGACAGAAGCTCACTGAAGTGAGAGAAGTACGTAGTAAAGGACCATGTCTTCCCCGGTGAAGGTGGTTTTTTACCCTAAGATGATATTAATTTGTCGAGCTATTTAAGCTATTATTGGATCATCTGGATCCGTTAGAACGTGTCAAGGGTCTCCTACGAGCCTTTTTTGTCTGGTAGGGAAAATTGTTCCTGCTTGCGGATCTTATATAAGAAAGTTAACAAGCATTGCTCTAGCAGGTTCAAAACTCATTCGTCGCCAGTCCAACAATGGAAGAACCACCAGCGCGCCGGAGGACAATGTCCCAACCAGGACCTATATCTGGAAGTCTCCAGACCGCTATAGCTGCACGCGCGAAGCGGCGATTGCGTAGCGTCATGTACGCTGATGATGCTGAAGTAGTAAGTGAACCTAATAGGCAATTCATATTTCATACATTGCATAATAAAGTGACCAAACATGCTATTCTCTCTTTTGTAAGATAAGGGGACAAATAAGCTTACGGAACAGCCACCGCTGCCCATAGACACCCATACTTTGGAAGACCGCCACAGTTCACTAGTTTAATAAAAAATTGTAAAGCGGACTGTGGAAGATTTTCAGCCATCGAGATGGTAAGGTTTGGTAAGGTTAAGGCTTAGAAGTATTTCGGCTTATGCGTTTCACCGCGCAGCGGCGGAAATTAACCCAAACAATTCTTCTGAACACTCAACAAAGCAAATGATTCATTTTACGATCAGATATTAACTGTTTAAAGCACAGATCTGTAACATAACAATTTATAAAACAAATATTTGTTATTACTAACGATTATTATTTGTAACTAATAAAGCGGTTCGATTAATCGGCCAGTGTCATTGGTCATTTTGTGTAAATGTAGGGAAATAACCGTGATGTTTTGATAAGGTTTGTACTAGATAATGTAAAAGTACCCGATTTAAAAGTCTTATCGAACTAGGCTGTTTATGCTTAATGCATACACAAATGCGTTAAAAACAGAAATATAGAAAATTTGCGCTAAGTCTTAACTTGTACAAGCGCAAATCTCCGTAAGTTGTCTTGACGCCGTACAACAGTTCCTTTTTGCTTGCCAAAGAATTATTTGGCAAGTAATAATAGTGGTAGTGACTAATAGATAATACATATAACTAATTACATTCATTTATAATTCGATTTTCAATCTTAACTTTTTAATTAGCGTAAAACAGACGATATCCTATATGAATTTTTTTTCTACTCCACTTCAAAATTGTACAATGAAACAAAACTTTTATTGGTTAGATAACTATACTTAATAAATTATTTGAAGAAGTCTATATAAGTATGAGGGTGTGCAATTATTTAGTCAATTACCGTCTAAAATTCGTAATATTAGCGCGTTTAACCAATTCAAAGAATGAACCTAGGAGACTGAAATTGAGACGGCTGATGGCGACGTGTATTTCGTTCGTATATACAATATACATATTAAGTTTCTCATGTAAATAAAACACATTCTTTTTTTAATGAGTTTGTAAGAGGCTTAATGTCGCCGTGTCGTTTAGAGCAGCCCATGTCTTCTAAAACTGACAATAATTTGAAGTCTTAAGGGTTGAGGTCTGGGCTAGATTAGGGCCAGTCATCAGCTCTTATGAAGTCCTGAACGTTGGTTTCAAGCCAGGCTCGGGAAGTTCGTGCCTTGTGACCAGGTGCAGAATCCTGCTTCAAAGTCCAGGATATATTTTTACAAAGTGTCTGGCTGAGAGGTTTCACAACATGATCCGAGACTGAATCTTGATACACTTTGGCTGAAGTTTCCACTCCTTTTTCACAAAAATGTAGTTTCGTGACTCCTTGATAAGACACGGCCCACCAAACCATCACTGACGCAGGATGATGACTAAGTTGTACCTTTCCGACCACTTGAGCAGCTTCTTTAGAACCGTGAGCATTCTTATTATCATTTTGCTTATTGTAGTGTTCTTCAGTCGTGAAAATTTTTTCATGGGTAAAGAGGATGTTTCTGTGCTTTTCACCTTCGTATCGCGACAGCAGGCGTTTTGATCGATCCACTCTTTAATTGTAAAGATTGATTTATACGATATAGTTATAGATATACGCGACAGAGTCCTAGCGGGAATCTTCACTTCTTGCGATAAGAATTTTTCTTCATAATGGTGTTTCGACGAATTCTGGCTGTAATCAAACTCAAAATATCTTTATTCATATAGGTAAACAAGTACATTTATGAATTGTCATAAAGAAGTAAAATTAATTATTGTTAATTTACATTTACTACCCATTGGTCTAGTGGTTAGTACCCCTGACTGCGAAACCATGGGTCCCGGGTTCGATCCCCGGCTGAGACGAACATCGATGTGATGAGCATTTGATGTTGTGCTTAGGTCTTGGGTGTTTAAATATGTATTTATATGTCTATCTATGTATAATAGGTATGTATGTATATCCGTTGCCTAGTACCCATAACACAAGCTTCACCAGCTTAGCATGGGACTAGGTCAATTGGTGTGAATTGTCTTTTAAAAAAAAAAAAAAAACTACCAGTTCGCAAGTCAAGGGCGTAGAGCGGGTAAGAAGAACTGGCAAGAAACTTTCCGCCACTCTTTTTAATCGCCAAGTATTGAGTCATGCCATCACAATTCGTACACGAATAAATATGTGAAATGCCGCAAAATCGATTTTTTTTTAAAAAGTAAACGTGTTCCAAATTCAAAATAAATAAAAGGTTGAAAAAAATAAATGTTTTTCTGTAACTGTATTTAAGGCCAGAATAGTTATAATAAAGTTTTTTTCTTTTCTTTTCGATTAGAAAACATGATCAAGAGTAATGTGGTGAATGATAACAATGAAATGATTATTCGATGACGATTTAAATCAATCACTTAGATAAGATCTTGCGAAGTCAATGTACGTTATAAGTTATGAAATCGACATTAATCCACAAACAAATACTAGCTAAATGGAATTGGACGCGTCATTATGATATTGATAAGGTTAAATTAGAAAGTGTCATTACCAACAACTATTTTTACGGGCACACTTGATATCAAGTGATACCATAGACACTTACCAAAGGCAATGAATTGATTTGCTGTCTTTGACGTGGTAGCGTCTAATAATTCGATAAACGCCGGCTGCATGCACGAAAAAGCATGACTCATTGTCCCTTTACGCTTATTGTCCGTTACGCTCTTTGTACGCTTGCGCAGCATCTATCTTTCTTCTTACTACTGACGTATGTCAAAGTCCAACACGTTTTTGACATACATCACTTAGCACTAAATCTTACCTTCAATCTCATATTTAATACTGTGATACGTTTTTATGGATAAGTAGGGGATCAGTCTTTTGGCTGCGTCACACGACTGGATATTAATTTGATTAATTATGAAATAGTTTAAGCTTTTTTCGGAGTTTTTCGTAGATACTGATGTCTTCTATAAACTGTAGTAGATCGCTTCGCTCTACTATCAATAGTTTTCGCAGTGTACGTGATATATCGTAGGTGTTGTTTCACACATTGGATTGCATTATCGACGTTTTTAAACGGATTCCTAACTTTTTGAAGTTATACTTCCTTTGGCGCGTTAGGGAAAAATGATTAGAGTAAATTTCTACGATGCGCGCGCACGCCGTCACAAAAAACCGACACCCTGAATATCTGTTCAAACGTCGGTAAAATAGTCAGGGCCGCTAGTTGGCGCTTGCTCTGTTTTATCGACAAGTGTGTCATGGCGTAGTGTTTTTCAGAGGCGTGTTTATTTAAACTAAAATTTATATACGAGAAAACCAGTTCCATTGTGATAAAAACATGGTGTTTATTGTAAAATATCATTATTAGAACATATCACATCGATTCCAGCTTCGATTGGAAGTGACCAAAAAATGCAATTCGAAGAGGGAAACGTCCCTCAAAAGTGCTCGAAGTATATTATCTTCTAACGCGTATATATAAGTACACACACGTTTTTTTTTAAATAATAGCGTAATATGTTTATCAATGATAATATATGATTCTAATAGTTAAATATTTTTTTAAATCGGGTGCAGTGATTAAAGCCTAAAAAAATCAAATCTTTCTTCTTTATAAAACTAGTGTAGACGAATCTATTCTTGCATAATCACGTCACACCATTGAAGTCACGTGCTTTATAAATTTAGCAAATGGCCACAGATATGACAAATCACGATTATGGCTAGTCTTGTGGAACTTTAATTTTTGATTATATTATCAATAGATAAACATAAGCTGGATTAGAAGTAATTTACAACTATATATCATTTTAAAAAGAGGGAAGTAAAGAAAATATTTATCTACTATTTTGTGAATATGTGTAATGTACAATGTTGTATAATATCTACCGTGAGACTGTATCACAAATATCTAATGATAATAAATTATTCGCATGAATATGGTACTTAAATATTATGGTGGTACAAATTAAAATTAAAACAATGTTTTACGCAAATATTCATTATAGTATAATACATTTATTCCAAAAGTAGAACATTAAGTCGATTTCATGTTCACTTTGAATTTTTTTGGTCCTTTCAACACTATACAATGATATTAATAACAATTTAAACTTTGACTGCCTTTGTTCGGGTACTATCGATCTCTGCCTTCCAAAGAAACTCCAGGCGATTGACCACCCAGCGGCGGCTAGGCCGAGGTCCGAGTCTCGCAAGAGATGTCCTTGCCTGGGCTGAGCTGTCAAGGCCTAATTGGCCAGCAACGAGATTCCATTAAAAAATGAGAAATTCTTTTAAAAGAGAAAAACATGACCTCTGGGTGGAAAATCTTAACTGAGCCATTAAAAATCACAGCAAATTTTTAAAATCAATTTTTTATAAGTTCTGAATTTACTTGCTGATTTCAAAAGTTATTAGTTTAAAATATATATGATATAGTAATAATAAGTAGAACTAAATAATAATATATTTTAACATACATATATGCATTTCATTAGTCCACAAATTTCTCTTACATTAAAAGTCCTATCTAATATAATTTGTATCAGACAAGTTTCAAAATAGGTACATAAACATTTCTACAAAAATCCAAATTAATGTTATCTTAAACTTCAATTTGTTTTAATTAATTTATCTTTAAACAACCAATAATAACTCTGAATGATGAATCTGATATAACGTACTCGAATTAAATACAAAATTGTAATTGCAGCCCATTACAGTAGTGAATAATTACAAAATAAATACAAATTACTCGATTAAGTCGGTATTAAATGGAGAGGCCCTCGATAATTATTTTCAAGTGCTAGATAACAATTTCAATAGAAATCAAAATTATCCAATTACAATCATTTTTAATAATTCCACGAATTTCTCTTCAAGGTAATTAAAAACCCTATTTCGTATATTTCAAATTCTCAAATATAAG